TTTTTTTTCAAATGTGCTCCTCGATGTACTGCGCTTCATAGCTGCGAAACATGCGAAGAAGCTAGCCGACCAAGCTTCTCATGTAGAATTGCATGGAACAAGTTTTACCATGATGCTTTGTGAGAAGTACCATGTCGGGTTGATCACATCATCGTCAACAGAAGGTATTTGACTGATGTGGCTGTTGTTGCATTTTTCATAGATCAAGCCACCATTTCTCTATGCCAAGATTTACTTTTTACAAAAGGGGAGAGACTTTAAGCTAAGCAGACACCATCCCACGATAGCTATCAGCTGGGCTTTGTTGTCTCTAATATCCGCTTTTGGCGAGAAACGATGGATCGTCAACATCGGCGAACAGAAAATGTTTGCCCAGCCTCTTCATAATTGCGCTAGAAAAACCGAGAGACAAAGAATTACGAGATAAATCTTTCATCGTAGACTTTGAAGCTAATATCGTGGATGAACACGAGCCGTAGGCTATTACCAGTTCACATATAAGTGCAAAGAACTGCAGAAAAGGGATAAAAGAATTCAAAGAGAGGAAAGCGTTGCTCGCCGAAGCTCTGACAATTTCACGACCAAGATGACGGCACTTCTCCCATTTGAAGGGACCGTGACTGCTTTCCGAAGGACAATGGATAAACTTGCATCAGTTATATTTTTCTGATGCCAGCTCCACCTGCCTCCAAGTCACCTCAGGAGAACAATTATCGTCGATTATCGTCTTTTGTTCTTGCCTCCAAGTTGTCATGTCGATGTAAAATCGTACAGTGCGGCCCACACGACCAAATCAAAGCAACGAAACTTTCGCCAGTCATCATCAAGACTTTGACGGGGACCTTCGCGTGTTATGACTTACCTAGCAAGATTCCAAGCAATGAAAGGGTCAGTAAAAGTGTGCTACTGAGCGAGAAACGGATTCCTGCGACCATTTGAACTGTCGTTCCATCTGTCCGTCGTTCGAGTCTATAAACTCTCTACGCGAACAATAGGATTGGAAGATTAAAAGGACAACCGTGCGTGCATGTTGGACTTCAAAATGGATTCATTACCATAGTCAACCTACTAGTGTGCAAGGTTAACGAAGCATAGGGAGAGCACAGGATGCCGCTCTGTCTACCTTCATCGCCTTTTAGAGGGCTTTTTACTCGGAGATTGACGCAGTCATCAATGCTTTGAGTCAAGAAATTCCCACTTAGCACATCAAGATAACGCGTTGCAATGACTTTACAGCCAGGATCAAACGACCTAGAGTGGTGTGCGAAGAGGACGATATTATATCACCAAAGCTTTTCAGTGCCTTCCACGAGAAGTACGACCCTCTGATGAAGCGATAAAAGCGTTACACGTGTTTCTGGTGTGATACGTAGCACTGGTAAACAATCGCCCGCGAGACAAGGACGAAGTGAATTGGATGCATCACTGAACTCGCTCGTGCAACACGACGATCTACGGGGATACAGGTGATATAGGTAAGACTCTTTTGATCTATGCAAGCAATTATTACAAATTATGGTAGCCCAAGTCTACATACATCGAAAAAGACGTACAAAGCAAGCATTCAGCTCGTTCCCATCGTTCTGCATATTCGCTTGATCAGCAGGCTCTTTTGTAGCACTAGATGAAAGCGCGTCGCAAGACGTCTCCGCTTCCTTTCCAGCACATTTTAGTTTTCTTACCTTAGTGCAGCAAAAGATGTTAGCCATCGTATTTTGTGTCCAACTCCTCTCATTCATGCGATCAGCCCAGCCACCCCAGAGATCCACTACCAGCTTTCCTTTATAATACATTGCTAACGCGGCACCGTCGCGTTCATATCTATACATGAAATTCTTCCTGGAAAGGGACCACATAGAAAAGGACTTTTGAGCTGAGTCCTCCGTTTCTTGCCTGAACAAATCTGCAAGCTCCTCGAATCCATCCGTAGCAACTCCTTCAACATGGTCATTGATCTGTAACAAAGGGAAATGCAGCCACTCAGATATTAGCCGCGGGGCAGGCGGCCATCAAATCGCGCTTTTCTGCAAGAGGTCAGCAGAATTTTTAGGGTGTGGCCAAAACTTCAGCGAGCGATCCTTTCGTGTTCTACCAGCGGGCAGCAATACAGAATTTTCTGCGAGGGCTCGTTAAATAAACCCTTTCAGCGAGCGCTGACTAAATATCCAGCAGGCGCTCGGACTCTTACGCATTTTCGAGCCGAGCAAAGGTGAGACTCTATCTCAGATAATCGCCGGGGATAGGCGGCTATGCGATTTCTAGGCAAGCGGGCACCGGAAAGAAGTCTGCTGATTTCTTGCGGTCCGCTTGCAGATATTTGGA